AATAGAAATAAGAAACAAGTTAATATCTAATGCTGCTAGATTCTTGATTTTAAATTCAAGACCAAAATTATTTAAGATTCTTTAGATTGTTTGATGTAGTTTAAACCAAGAAGTGTTTGCAGACAGGTGGGCACTGTGCACAGAGGCTTAAGCTAGCATGAGGGATGCCCACATTTCTAATGGGAGTTCGCTACTCCTAGTGCTTCTTATCCAGGTCCTGCTAATGTGTCTGAGAGGCAGCACTTGATGGCCCAAGTGCTTGGATTCCTGTCACCCACGTGGGAGACTCAGATGCAATTCCTGGCACCTGGATTTCATCCCAGCTGTTGTGGGTACTTGGAAAGTGAACAGGGGATGGAAGATTTCCTTCTCTCTCTCTCTCTCTCTCTCTCTCATCTCTCCCACTTTCACTCTACCTTGCAAATAAAATAAAAATTAAAAAAAAAAAACCTGCAGAATTTAGTACGAATATGTAGTTTACAATCTGTCTTGAAAGCAGGCAGTGTTGTCTATATCACTCATATATCCCACACCCTGAAACAGTATCTGGCACATATTTATTGATAAAATGCAAGCAAATTTGGGAGAAAATAAGTTAAGCTGAAAGGATTCTCTAAATTTTTTTAATCTATTAGAGAAAGAAATTGAGGAAAATTAATTGCTTAAGACAATGGAGTTAGTTAATAACAGATTCAGAAATTAGCTATTTTAATGAAAATAGATTCTTTTGTTTTATAACATATTATTGAAGAAATGCTCAAATAAGTACTTTTACTCACATATATTCAGTATTTATGTAATCTGCATAGGACTGTGGCGAAACAAAGGTGACTAAGAAGTGGAGCATATTTTTAAATATTTTACATTGTAAATGGGGAGGCACATCTTCCAGCCCAATGCAGAGTCAGGAAGAAGGTAACTGAACTCAAAGAGGATTCAGAGTTTAAGAAAAAAATATGACTTAGATAACAAGAAGGGGACTCAAGACAGAGGGGACAGATTCACAATATAAGCAATGAAAGTTTTTTTTTTTTTTAACTTCTCATGTCTTGAAAAATACTAAATACTTTAGCTAAGTCATCATGTTTCCAAATAGCAACTGATATTATGGGCCAAAATAAAGGACTTTAAGATTTATTTATTTATTTAGAAAGGACAGGATATAGAGACAGAGAGAGAGATATGCCATCTGCTTTTTCACTCATTGAATGCCCACAACAGCCTGGCCTGGGTCAGATTGAAGCCAGGAACCCAGAACTCAATCCGGGTGTCCCACATGGACAGAAGGGTCCTGAGGACCATGGTCATCACCTGCTGCCTCCCAGGTGCACATGAACAGGAAGTTGGATTGGAAGAGTAGACAAGACATGCTGATATGGTATGTGGGCATCTTAACTGGTGTGAAAATACCTGCCCCCAAGAACTTTATTGTTATTTTACTATTTTCAGTTTATTTACTATTTTCAGTAAATCAAGTAGGTTATTATGGCCATTATGCCTCTCATTTTCTCATTTTTTATTATCAAAGAGAAGCAAGCAAAACATCTTTAAAGAGTCTGAGGAGCATCTATACTTTTAAAATATTTTAGATCATTACTGCATAATTTTTTAAATGGATGCATACTTGCTTCCCAAAATCATATAATGTTTCATGGTCAGAATTGAACTATTTCATTCAGTGATGAATTTAGGAGACAATGTTGCCTAAAATAGCCCAGGAATTCTGACCTCAGAAAACCTGGGCTTAAATTAAATGCAGTAATGGTTTATAAGGAGGAAGTACAATGCCTGGCTTTAAATAAACTTCCAATTGTTAGTTATTATTTTTACTGCTATGGTTGTGGTTACTATAGTGTAATGAAGACCAGTTGAAACAAAGTATTTAAGACAACTTAGAAAGTACTAATTACTATTCATAAATAAACATTACATGGTATATATAGATACCTTCATGCTAGGTGCAATGATTATCCACACTGAGCAGACAGGAAGAGAGCATTTCTGAACCACCTCTGTTTTTCATGTGTTTCTATATATATTTTTGCTTTCCTGCCAAATTGTTAATTCTTTATTTCTGTCCTGCCTCAAACATTTTCTAGTTTCCAACTTCTCTGTAATTAATAACTTTCTTCTGTAATTAGTAACAGTGACCAAATGCAATGTCTTGCTGCCTTGAGTTGCAGGATTCTATTTCAGTGCCTATTTCTCCTACTCTAAGTTTCTATTTTGAAGTCACATGATAATACTTGTTCCTTTAGATTGAAGCTTGAGAGACACAATCTTGGCACAATTTTTTTTCCAAACAAACGAAAAAGATCTACTACATATTTTTAAGTTAATACAGGCATTTCCCTCCTCACTTCAGTATCTGTAATGGGGAGAATACACAGGACTTCAGAACTTTGGGCCATCAAACATTAAATGACCAACCAATAAGGAAAATATTAAAAGTATTAATTTTTTATTATCCATGAACTTCACTGACAAAATGCAATATATGTTACCTGTATTCCCATATTTAGATTATGTAATAGTATAATCAATGTACACAAGTTTTGGAGAAGCCACCAGGAGAATTAGGGCAAACTACCCAAAATTTTGAGGAGAAACTTTTTAATTAATCCTTTGTTGGAATGAAAAAAACTATCAAACATATAATTTGATGTACCATTTCTTTTTGTGCTTTAGTTACTAAGTTATTTCTTTCTTCAACTGATGATACTTAAAGTTTTGAGGGTTGATAATGTAACAGCAAAATAATGTTAGGAAAAAGAGAGGAAGAGAGGAAGAATCAGTGTACACTAAGTCACACAAGCCCTCATACAAGTATAGATTTTAATTGGCGACAGGCCAACTGAATGCTTTATGCTACTACATTGCAGAAAAAAGAGGAGCCAGAGATAAAGCATCCAACAGGTAAGAACAAAGAAGTGAAAAATAGAATCAGGGGTAAAAGGATGGGAATGAAGATTCAAAGAGTAATATTTTTAAAAAGATCTGTCCTAAACTAGTGTTGTGTTTAAAATGCTATCTTACTATTTCTAAAGTTATCACTGTCATCAGTTGAAATTATCTAAATTATATGCTATGCCAATTATTTTAAATGTTATTTCACTGGTAGTCAGTATCTTTCCTGCTTCCCTGAACTATTTACAAACTTCGGTAATGTAACTCCAGTCATGGACTCCTGCGGTATTAATTTATTAATGATTTGATTATTTAAATATTCCTAGGAAGAGAAAGTCTATTGTCTCTCCCAGTGACGTAAGACCTTGCACTTGGCAAACAAATTGCCTCTGATTATATTCAAGCTTCACTGCTAAGGAAAATGAGCAAATGCCTCACTTCTTCATGCCTGTTTCCTCATCTGGGGAATAGAAAAAAATTAGTAACACCTGCAGCAGAAGGCAGTTGCTAGAATTAAATAAATTATTAAATGCAACTTGCTTAGAACACTGTCTGGACACAGAATAAGGGGTACAGTAGTGTTAACAAGTAGGAAGACTCTTCAGCCCCTGTTGGCTCAGGGCTTGTAGGCTAGAAGAGAAGCACCCATAAGTATTTTGTTCGGGCTCAACTAAGGTATTCAAAAATATTTGGTGAATAAAATTGAACTAGCCTTACGATAATAAGTAACCAGAAGTATAGTCATGCTTTTAAATAAAAGAAAATGCAATGTAATTGCTTTAAGTTCAACTTTGAAAGAGAAAGAAGATACTTCTGATGACAGGTATGAGACATTTAGTCCAAAGGTTCCCATATTGCTATTCTAGCAGACTGCTTGGGAAAGTCTTTGCTGCAGCTTGGCCCACAACCCTTTAAGGAGACACTTGGATTTTCATGGACTCATTCCTAACTCAGCCGGGCTTGTTTTCTTCATAACTTTTGAAGTGAGGAAGTAGAGCAAGGTGATTTCCAAGGCTCTTTTTAACACACAATATTAACTTTATAAAGGTGGTGAATTTCTCTGCAGAAGTAAAGCTCCCAAAATCAGTTTTTAAAGGTTGCTAAAAAGAACACAAAGAAGTTAACATTAGAAGAGCAAATTCACACCCCTGAGGTAAGAGCTTATAGCTGAAGAAAATGGATATCCTTAAGATTAGGAGAGAGACGACTGAGTTACTGAACTATCCAGGTATTTCCCCAGCATATATGTGTCATAGGTGTTTTCACAGCGGTCCTATACAATGCATGTCATTAAAGAAGAGAATGAAATAAAGCCTGGCTTGTTACTTAAAGTACACAGATTTCTTATCAATATCAAATACCACTCTAAATATCATTATTCAGTATTAGAAAAAATTAACCCCAAATGTATTGTAGATGGAATACATTACAAAGTATGAAAATGAAGAATAACTCTATTTAAAGGGGAAAATGAGAAGAAAATAATTTTTAACACTTTCGTAATGAGGTAAACAGAGCTCCCATTATGCAGGGAAGTGTTTTGCATGTATGATTAATTTTAAAACCCATAAGTCATAAAGAACTAATCTGTCTTTAGATAATGAGCAACTTCAAATCTGAAAAGACAATATAGGAAAAGAGAGATGTTAGTAAGTAGAACTGAGAGTTTAACAGGCCACGTTTGACACCGGTTTTAGCAGAATTCTTAAAACAGTAGCCATAGAAATTGCATGCCAGGAAACACTTTATTTATTTTTAAATGTCAATAAAGGAATGGTGTATGAATAATTAAAATGTAGGGTAAAAAGACACTAAATGATACTGTTTTATCTGTTGCAATGTATAACACAACCCAAAATGAAAACAAAAAAATTGAGTTTTTTTTTTTTTTTAGTGAATGACTCTGAAAGAAAATAACAAAATAAGTAACTTGGTAAAATAAAAATTCAACAAACCAGAAAAATGTCTCCCGGAGGCTAAATTTACACTCTGGAACGTTATGTTAGACATAATAATGCCTATGTTAACTTTCTAAAGAATACATAAACCACGTCTACTTTTTCTTGATCAGCATTCTGTGTAGTTTACCATACCTGTGGGTAGCTGTCAGTCCTTGGCAAAACTGATATGTCATAGGTGGCAGCAAAATGGCTTTTAGCTTGTTGTATTTGGCCATAACGTTCCCTTTTTCTCCACTTTGCTCTTCGATTTTGAAACCAAACCTAATTTTTTAAAAAAGTGGAATTTTACTTAAGAAATATTGGATAAATAAAGCAAATTGGACATTACAAGATTTCAAACCAGAATGTAAACTAGGTCAACAAAATTACTTATAAAGGAATCTATTGATGTCAGAAAAGTCTCCATACATTGTACTTTCTTTGATACCCCCATATGGAAAACCATGTGTCCATGAGGCTACATCATTTACGAGAGAGATCCAGGGGTGTTTCAGCAAATTTATTTGATATATTTGAGCCTCTGTTTCTCTCATCTATAGAAAATAAAAAGAATTTCAATACATAAGACTCCTTAGTTCTCTGCACTGTCGTGGAAAATGCTCCTCTAAGAGAATGCTGAAAGTCTGGGAGACATTTGTAGTTTTAGTTTGACATTTATGCTATAAATGTAGCCAACATAACCTGAGTCTATTAAAAATTATTTTTGAAACATGTTACAAGGAGAAGACTGCCCTGGGTTGCATGTATACTTAGATAATCTTATAAACATCTAAACATAAAGCTTACAACTCTATCATATGGCAGTAGTGGAAATATCATGGTCAATTAGAAACAGGCAAAAATAAGATTACATATTATCTTGAGCACACTAAGGACTAATGGTAAAATGGAATCATTTGAAGTTGAACTATGGTTTTAAAACTTAAATCATGCCACTTATTTATCCTCTCTAATGGAAAATGCAAAGATATTTTCACAATAATTTCTCCAAATTAAAACACATAATATAAATATTAAAAGAAATAGGCAGACAGAACTAAGTGTCGAGATAGCCTGTGAGTTACTGTGGGCTCTTCTGTGTTGTTAAGCTGCCATCCACAATTTTTCTAGTTCCATATTAAAAGAAATATGTATCATAAGAACTATCTCCCTCATAGGGTTAAATACTCATTAATCTACTCTTCTGTATCTCCAAAGTCTTCATTTTAATACTTTAATGTATCAAAAGGAGGTACAGAAAATTATATCTAACATGTATTCTTTATTCTTGAGTAGACATTGTCTGAACAGCTCTGGGAAATCTCCAGTCTTCTTTACAGAAGTATGAAAAAAATACAAAATATTTAGGAAAGTTGCTGGAAATACACTATCAAAATGCAAGTTGTTAAATGCTTTTCATTAAAATTTACTGGAAATTTTCATTCTTTTTCATACGCTTCTTATCTTCTAAATCTTTATCTTCACAATTCTGGCTACTATTAATACTCAGTTTAATATTTAAGTACATGTTGTAAATTTAAGATGGCACTTTGAAGACTTGGCAGCAATTAAAACAAGGCAAAGAGAGCTACCTGTTTAGTATGGTTTCTCGGTACACAGCTGTTCATTATTCATTATGCCCAGGGCTTGAGACAGTACCACCACAAACAAAAACATGTTTTCTTGCTGTCTCCATATCCAGCACCAGGAACATACTAAGGGAATTTAGTAAAGAGGTCCCTCCCCCCGACTCCACGTTGAGAAAGTGACCTTGACAGTCTTCTTAAAATGGGTGCTAATTTTACAGCAAAAAATTACAGGAAAAAAGCAGGAAAGAGAACAACCTGAGTCAATTTGGTTAAGGCTGGTTCTCTGTACTTGTTCATAGACAAAAAATAATCAAGCCTTAAAGGGAAAACATGCATTGTGAACAGCTGATCACTCAGTATATAAACATAGTTTTCTATGGTTGAGTATAATGAATTTAAATATACAGACACAAGACCAAAAAAATACACATGCAGGACTGGTGTTAATATTTGACAATTTAATATTCTTCATTAGCATCAACTTTCTATATATTTACTTCCTGAACTAAGATAAAACAAGTATTTGCCTCTACACACTCAAGAAAAATCTGCTGCTTGTTATCCCTGCCTCAGCAGATGTTGTCTTTAATGATGTAAGGGCCTTACAATGGCTTAATCTTAAGAAGGAATACTGTTACTCCACTCGGAACAAAATCTTTCACTATTGTATACTGACTTCTTCCTGGTGGTTTATGAAAATATTTTCCTAGGTATAGTGGTGAAAAGACATACAAAGAAAAATTTCATTTTCCTGGACTTCTGCTGTATTTTAAATTATTACTTATTACCTGGGAATTAATACAATATAGATTCAGAATATCACACATAGACAAAATAAAATTTTTCTTTTTCAAATTACTAAAAAAGTATATTGAATAATCCAGTTTGGTAATTTTAATATATTTGATGATGTAATTTATTGTATAAATATAATTTGAATATATATATAAATTACCTTAAGGACAGTATTCCTATAGACTCTGCAACAACATAATTTTTCTAGATATTAAAAATTAAAATAAAATTCCATCCATTGACAATTACAGGGGTGATAAAATTGTAAAGGAGCTACAATTATGCTAATAAAGATATTTTCTGGTATACATAACAATCGGGAGATTCTAAATATTATTTCATCTTTTCTTTTATTGTAACACCAACCCTGAGAATAGATTTACAGGCTTTTACACAAATAACTTACAAGTATCTGATTTATATCCCAATGGCTGATAAAACAGAAAAACAAAATCTATCGATCACTAAATGAATAGCTGGGATTGTTTCTCTTTAAAAATTAATTTTAAGAATTATTGCCATATTGTTATTTTAATTATTGTTAACATCTATGTCTATGTAATAACTCAAGTATTCTTTTGTTGTATGTTTTCTGCAAGTTGTCAAATCCTGAGCAAGCAAAAAGGAATTTTACTGGATCTACATGCACGTATATTTCATTGTTCCATGTCTTCAGCTCTGGAATCAGTGTGTTCCTTTGGGGCAAGATGTGATCATTCAATTATGCTAATGGTATTTCCCTTCCCCGCCCACCCCAAAGGCCTCCACTTGGCTCCTACCTGGACTCTGGCCTCAGTGAGCTCCGTCCTCAGAGCCAGCTGCTCCCTGACGTAAACATCCGGGTAATGGGTCTTCTGAAAGACTTTCTCCAGCTCCTCCAGCTGCAGGCTGGTGAAGGTGGTTCGATGTCTCCGCTTCTTACTGCTGGACACGTTGCTGTCACATTTGTCTCCGAGTTCATCCAGTTCTCCCTTTTCCGGCATCCCTTTCCCAGGAGACATTCGGAGACTGCTGCAGTTGTCCATAGCTCTGTTCAGTTCCGTGTGAAGCGGCTGTCCTTCCACCTTAGTGATTCCGTAGTTCACTGCACCCAGGGGGACAAAACAACAGTCCTCAGGATTGGGAAACACATTTGGATGAAAGAATTCAGTGGAGGCAATTTAGTGCATCAGGAAAGCAGTCTGGTACCGATTTATTGTGCCAGTTTTAATTTGATCATCACAATATGCACAATTATTAATTCATAGCGGGGCAGTTTTTAAAATCATTTTTTAAATGTGTACGTGGAACTCATATAATTTGCCAAAATCCATAGTTGTATTTTACCGGGCTGCTGCAATGTTTATGGACTTAATTTACAACCAAATTAATGTCAGATTAACGGATACTCTAGGCTTAAAAAGAAAAACCCAAGTGACCACTATTTTTACAAAATGAACCAGAATAAAGCAAGTTATACATTGATCCACAGAAGACAAAATTAAGCTACTTACGTGGCTCAGAAAATATATTTCAATTTCAAATAACATTCGTATAACAATATCCAAAAGTTATCTTCCCCCTCCACAGAAAATCGATTGAATATTTAAATGTGGCATTATTTCTGTTGCATTTTGAATCTTTCAACTATATATTCATGTCTGCATTTAAATTGTTTTCAAAAAGCAATCAATAAAATTGAAAAAACGTGATTTCATATCAATCTCTGGAAGAAGTAGTTTCTATATATAAAAGAATAAGATTTCCATAGACTTCGTTATTAAAACCTCATCTTGCAACTCTGTCTTAAATATTTCCTATTTCTGTTTAACACATGAACTACATTTTAGGGCAGAAATCTTTATTTTTCCCCTCTACCAAAGGACAGGAATTCAAACACCTAGGAAAACACGACCAAGGCAAGCATCTGTTGAGGAGTGTTTAAATTTCAGTAATTTCCTTCAGATTTGATTGCATGCTTGTGGTATGATATAAAACAAAAGTGTCGCCCAGCATTACACACACACACACACACACACACACACGCGCGCACATAATGAAACAGGAGACTTTATGTAAAAAAGTTAAGGCAACTCGGCCAGAACGGGTACTCACACCTTCTCCCTAGGTGTCTGTTTGGAACAAACCCACGACAACGCAATTTCGTCACCGTTTTAATCGTGACACACGGGGAGTCTATTCCGATGCCTAGATGATTGAACTTTCCCTCTGAGGAAGATGGGAAGCAGAACTCAGTACGCGGAGGGGCCGTGACGGATGAACAATACGGTTTTGTCTCAGTTAAAGGGGGAACTGCGGCAATTAGGGCTGGGGGAGGGGAGCAGCGAGAGGCGAGGGGCTGCTCGGCCGGGACGTGCGCGCGGCTGCCCACGCTGCCCTGCGGCCATTCACCACCAGTGTGATACCTGTTTAAAAGTTGGTTCAGTGGCAGAATCGCCTATTTCTCTTCTCATCCTGGATCCCCAACAATGGAAAGCATTGTGACACATTGTGACCCAGGACGCGGCAGAACCACTAAAGAAAAACCCTGTCCAGTCAAAGAACTTGATGCCCACACCGAGAATACCGACAATACAGATACAGGCAGAAAGTCAACACTTCACTGTATTTTAAAAACCGATTCGAGTCTTTCTTAATAAGTGGGAAAAAAAAATTAAGGGATCAACTTTCTTTATCATTTTCGTCTGTAATTTTGGTTTACTCTTACAAATCAAAAATAACCTGAAAGCTGAAGGGCAGAAGTCAAATAAGAGCTTTTTTGAAAAAAATCTTGTGTAAAAAATATTTTTAAAATGAATTCCTGCTAAGCTAGCGTCTTGCCAGATTTTGAACTTCCATTAAAATAAGGGGCGGGAGACTTGTTGTAAATATTTCACACTTAATTCGTTTGTTATTTTAAAGCAACCCGCTCCTTACAGCTTAACTGCGAAATATATACAATGATAAGGAAAAAGTCCTTTCGGCATTGTAAATGTGCTTCAGCTGTCGCGATCTGAAATAATAGGTTTGCACTGGGTTTCAAGATAGAAAAGATAGATGGTTTGTTTTGATAACATTTTGACTTCGAGATACTTGGGTACTCAGAGTTGAAGATTCCACCCACAAGCTTCGGAGATGACTTTTAACACGGAGTCAGAAAGAGACAATGCAGAACCCGGGAACCAGTGAGTCTGTCGGTGACTGTGCGCGAAGCTACTTAAAGTCGTTTGGTGTTGCACAAAAACTTAACGTGTGTTAGATTGCAAACACACACACACACACACACACACGCATAGGCAGAAATCACAAATTCACACGGGCTAATTCACAGTCTAGCAAGCCTGCAATCTGCAGATTCACGAGGAAACAGAACACCTCGCCTTGGAAAATTTAAAAAAAGTGTTTTTCACCTAAAAAGGAGCTTAAGTTTTTTTCCTTGTGGGGAGGACACTGACGTCCTCTAAGGAACCCTGATGGATTTCAGCGCCCCCCAGCCCTGGCCGCACGGAGGCTCGCAGGCGTAAACACGCTGCACTTAGCGCCCTATCGCTCCACACCCGGGTCCTGGAAGCAGGGAACGCGGGACCCCGCAGCCGACCAGACCCGACAGCGACAGCAGCCGTCACGCGGGACGAGACTCGGAGCGCGGTCACCCCGCTCGCCCGGGGGCGACACGCTCCGCTCTCTGCGCCCGCCCTGCTGCTCCCTGGCTCCCGCTGCCCTTTCTTCTTCCTCCCTCCCTGCCTGTCACGAGCGGGCCCGCACTCGGGACGTGCGGGGCGCGGGGGGCCACTCACCGCCGCTGTCCTGACAGGGCGAGGTCCTCTCGAGACGCACGTGATGCTCGGCTCTGGGCAGCGGCCCGAAGGCCTGCACGCATTTGCCTGCCGACGCTTTGCTGTAAAAGGGCTCATTGTCCAGCGTCTCCATAACGTGCTCCAACGCGCCTCCTGCGCCCATGTAGAAGTCGCTGTTCTTACTCGGCGGGCTCTTCAGGGCGAACTTCTCGCTCAGAAACTCCATAATCCTGCAGAGGCTGCGGCGGAGCTCCCGGGGCGCGGAGCCTCAGCCCGGCGCTGGGGGAGGGAGCGAGTGGGCGGGAGGAGGGAGGGCCCGGGAGGAGGGTAGGGACGCGAGCGCTGCGGCGCCGGGAGCTGCCCCGCTCCGAGCCCTCTAATGCGTCCCGGCTGCAGAGGGGGCACCCGAAGTTGCTTTTATATCTTGAAACTCAGCTGGGCTCCCCGGGCAACCTCCCAGTTCTAATGAATATGAAAATAGGCAGGCGACTAACTCCACCCCGGGTCCCCCTCCGCCCCCACCCGCCCCCAACCCCAGCCCTCCCCACTCACCCCGGGCCGGGCGCGTACCGGGCCTAGGTTAGAGAAGACAGGCAGCTCCATTTCAGACAAATGCCAGCAGGGACGAGGCCCCGACACCCAGAATCCTTGTAGCCGCGACAGTGGACTGGCATTTCGGAAGACCTCGGTGAGATCGCTAAGCAGTTAACCCTCCACTCCCCGCGCTCTGCGTGCTCCTGGGCCCCCTTCCTGGCCACCTCTAGCCCCACCCCACCCCCACGCCAGCCATTGACTCCCCGAGATGTAGAGGTATCCTGAGAACTTGAAAAAGTGCTCCAAAGGGCTTTTAGCTCGTCCGTAAGTCATTGACGTGGGAGACCCACGCTGAGCCGAAGCACGAGGAGCCGGGTGCTTTGGGAGCGCTTAACTGGGACGGGCGTGCCAGAAGGGCCGCTTCTGCTGCTTCTACCCCACGGGAGCTGCGTGTCCCCCGGGCTTGGGCGCACCGTGAGGCCGTGGCCTTCCCTTCTGGTCTGGAGTGGGCGGCGTGTGGACGTGCCGGTGATAGGGACGAGAGGAAAGCCCAAGTAGAGACACTGAAGAGCTTGGACTATCCCAGTACCAAGCTATTTCCCCACCCTCCTCGCCACCCCTTCTCTTGTTCCGCAATTTCTCCATTTAAACTCAAATAATTTTTAAAAAGCCGGTAGAGACAAGTGCTTCCCTTGATCTAGGCCAGAGGAAAGATGATGGCACAATGGGGGTCTATGGGGAGGAGGAAGGCTTTGAGTGTAATTTTTAAAGTCTTATGTTTTTTGCTTTTTAAAGAGTCGCAATGCGGTTACTCTGCAAAGCAAGTGCGGAAGCGAGAGACGCGCGCGCCCGCGAATCTGGACGCAAGGGTGCGGCCGCGTCGCAGGCACCGGCAGGGCCGGGGCCTCCATTCCCGCCCAAGGGGGTGGGAGGGCGGCCGGGACAGCGCTGCAGGATTGAAAGCCTCTCTGTGTGGCTTTGGGCCCGATTCCAGCTTCCGAGGAGAGCTGCCGCCGTCTGGGGAAACGCGTTCGGTGCCTTGGGCACGAAAAGGCAGTCTTTCGGAGTAGGCCCTCTAAGGTGGTCAATTTGGTGAAAAACTTGCAGAAGCTATGGACCAGGAAGGCCTCTGCTCCTGGGTGGTGACACAGCCTTTCTCGCCACAGGCCCGAGAGGCGCCCATGCAGTTCCCTCAGGCCAGCCTGGCAATTACGCAGCGGCACGCCGCTCGGCCCCGACTCTCAGGATGGCGAGGCCAAGTCCACCTTTCGCTGGTATCGGGTGGGTCCGGAAATTTCCACCCTCTCTGGAGTCTTGGCTGAGGGGTGCCTCGCTAGTGAGACCTACTTCCAGGCCCAACCAGGCCACAGCCCCAGAGGAAAACATCACGGCGCACCCTGGACCTGCCTCTCGGCACTGTCCTAAAGGTGGGGCTGACCCTGAACATCCAGAACCGACCAAGTAGAACCCGAGAGGACGGGCGGGCAGCCGCAGACTCAGGAGCGCGGCCCGGGGTGCACCCGAGGCCGTACCCCGCCTCCCCACCAACACACAGCCCACTCGCAGGGACGGACAGGCGAGGTGTCCCTGCGGCGCCGCGCTCGGCGTGGCCTTGAGCGCGCACTCAGACTGACACCATTCCTGAGATAGCTTCGGGTGCATCCTTGTTACGTCTGGAGCAGGACAGCCAACACTGTGCACGCATCGTTAAATCTCCATGGTGGGAGAATGGGGTGGGGTGGGGGGCGAGGTCTAAGAAAAGCACTGGGAGACTGCGCTCCTGGAGCGAGCTAGGGTGCGTGGGGGAGCGGGGACTCCTCGCCAGGCATCTTCCGCAAAGCGAGGCCGGGCTGGGATGGCGCAGCAGGGCGGGGGAAGCCAAGGAAATGCACTCCAGAGGTTTCCCTTGTGGCATCCGGACCTCGCTTGAGGAGTAGCAGCTCTGCGCGCTTCCTGGGCACTTTGAGTTCTTGAGAAGCTCTCGTGGGAACAATGAGTGTCGCCCCAGCCACTCACTCTTGGTGGGTCGGTGATTTCCGATTCTCCTATCCCCTCTCTGTACCTGCTTTCTTTCAGGTATTATCGTGCAAGTTTTATTTTCTCTAATAAATGCGGCTGGGGGTGGTGGTGGGTGGGATAAAAGAAATGGACGTTTCATAGGATTTTCGAAACCTCATAGCAAAAAACAGCGCCTATTGTTGACTTGAGGAAAGATACAAACAAGTCCTAGTAATAAACTTAGATGCGCTGTCGAGCCCTGTAAGCTTGTTTATAAATATGCGTCTTAACAGCCCTAAATTCTCTGAGAAACATTCGGTGTCTTTTAAATGAAAGACATATGATGCAAGCGCTACAGTACTTGTTTACCAATAGAAGTCCAACTCATGGAGAATCCTAAAGGGAAGCCGAGAACAACAGCGTAGTAAACCGGTTTCCATTACCGGAACCCACTTTTGATGGCAGAGGTTGGAGGGATGGGGTGCAAGGTGTCACCGACGCAATGGCCCGGAGCCTCCCGAATTGCACGGAATCCCGTGTGTTTTGTGACATGTAACCACATGTGCCCATAACAGAGGGAACAGCTAATGGCAAACTCCCATAACGAATGCTTAATCTGCAGTTTTTTGGCAAGAAGCTGGCTCTTCAGTTGCCAAAAGCTGCATTAAATGGATATTGAGAGGTTGAGATGGAGTTTATGGCAATAACACACATTGGCGCATAATACCAAATTGAAAATAATCGTAATTAAAGTAATAGTAACTAAGTGCTGGAAGACATAAGAAGGCAGAAGAAATCAAACTAGAGACTATCTCAAATTCTCTGAGATGTAAATGGGCTTTTTTCTGCTTGATGTTTTGTGGATAACCTTCTTGGAAATCAACCATAGCACTTTGATAAACTCTTTCAGCTACCCTCCCAAGATCCAGTGCAGACCCTACCGCCTCAGCAGGCTTTTCAAACCTGCCTCTTTCTCTCATTCTTCCATCCCAACCCTCCCGGATTTGAACCTGTCCACTTGGCCCAGGCCACAGGGCAAATGTTCTAAGGAGCTATCAGCGGACAAAGAAAGATCCAGTTTATTTCAAAAGGTTCTACTTGGGATTATATCCCTGCAGGCACAGCTCCTTGTCCCAGGCTCCCAATTCCTTCTTTGTCTTCCTATTCTGAGGACTGCTCAACTCTTTCTATACTCAAGTGTCTAAATCCAAAATACAGCACCCCTTCGTTCATGTCAGTCTAAATCTATCTGAAATAGGCTGTGATGCCTCCTTTCTCACTTTGCCTCCTTCACATCTGAACTTTTCTGAAGGGCATCAACGCTTGCAGAAGGTGGTGCTGTGGCTGGGATGAGAGTTGGGATAGGAGAGGCAGGGGTTCTTTTAAAGCTCAACCAAATTTCCAGCATCCTTGGATTTCCACACTTCCAGAAATCTGGAAGCTGTGAAGCCATTGACGCTTTTTCACTTCTCTTTGATGGGGATGAAGTATGGTGCCTGCTGAGGGAGTCAGGAATATGAAAGCACCAGGAGGAGGCTTAGCCAGACCTCTTACAGGTTCAAGTCTGCTTTGGTAATTGAAATGTGTTGGCCTGAGCTGGATCATTCCTCTGGCACCACTGGATGCCAACAGGGTGGGAAGGCTATTTTGTGAGGATGGCTCTGATGCCTCATTTCAAGTTACATCTAAAATTATTTTTTCAACCAGTTTGTTGTCAGGTGGCCGCTCCCTTACCCCCAATACAATGCTTTGGATGCTTAAAAAAGTTTTATATAGTTCGCTTTAGGGTCTAGAATGAAAGTAACTGAATAAACTAAAGCTATTTGAAAGGTTCACTATGTGACACTCTCCTCCCAAAAGATCATGTTTTGTTAGGAAGTAAAGTTCTGATAAGGGATTGTCAGTCTAAGGCAGCCTGAGACTGACTCATTTTACATTAGAAAAAAATTCTTTCAGACTAAAAGATGCTTTTAATGCCTTCTCCCCTAGTGTGAATATATTTTGGGAAATGAAAAATATTTCTGTGTGCATACATCAAAGCAGCAGTAGAAGCAATGTGTAGACCACTCTAGTTCCTTTCTTTCTCAACTTATTGAGAGAAATGTCACACTTGTATAATAATAGCAGGAATTGTCAAGATGGGATTCCAACAATTTTACTCTTAGCACTTTATTTTTGCAGTTAGAGTTTGAGGCTTATAAGTGAAGCTAGGAAAAATGCGTGCTGAATCAGGAGAGCTATGCCAAATGTAGAAAAGCTATGATCTGGGGAGGGAAGGAGGAGCTGGTGGAGCAAAACTCTCATGAAAAAGTACTAAAATAATTGAATGTCATGTATCATGGCAAGAAGCCAGGTGGCCTCGTGCTTGTGTGTGCGCTGCTGCTGCGTTGCTTCCGCGGCTTCATCGTCAGCCTTCCCACAGCTCTGCAGACAAAACACATATAGAAATATATTTTTGCAGTGAAACAGCTCAAGAGGTTTTCATCAAAACAGAAATACATACACACAGAGAGATATTTAGGCTTTCCTTTAAAATATATGTTCCAAGTCGTCATCACCTACTCCAGGAAACCCGCCTACTCACTAACATCTAACATTGTCACATATCTTTAAGCTACTCTCTTTTAAAGACAATTACCTGAATGTTAGTCTATCCAGTAAGTTTTCAAGGTACAATGCTTCTCAAACATAATGGATTAAATTTAACTTGATTTCAATCATGATAGTAAACATTTGATCTTCCAAAAACTCTGATTTGTTTCAAAGAGCTATGTTTTGAATTTCAACTTGTTTCAGTAATAGTTTTCACATAGTTGCCTTTTTCTTTAAAAAGAGCCTAATGGATTTGACTTCTGTTCTCCTATCTAAAGGATCCAATTCAAATGTAAAAATCTAAGACCACTGTTTGCCCCACATGCAAATATTTTGACTTATCTAGCCTATGTAATTGTTTATATTAATAGACATTATTTACAATTACTATAGAAAAGGTATTTTATTGAAAATATTAACAAATCATAATTAGGCATCGGGATAATTTTGTCACCCTTATTCCTCTCTATGATTGGTGTCGTGATTCCAGGAAGTTATGAATTTAATAAAAAACTGTTAAAGATAGATTTCATGCATAATGCATATGTCTTCGAATGGTGAATAATTATTCTGAACTTATTTAATTAATGCATCAACTTTCACCAACAAATTAATAATTTTTTACCTAAAGCACACTTTACACTATTGTATTTGGTAACTGAAATGTTTAGGCTTCTATTCAATATGTTTTAAATGTACTTCCCCTCTCCCCCTGCTGATTCTAAAGCCAGAGTTGTTTATTTTCAAGATACTGTGAGTGCATATTCACACCTTCAGCTTTCATGTTTCCGGGAAAGATTTTCTTAAAGAAAATCTCAGCATAGATACTGAGTCAAAAAGACAGATGGTTCTCCTTTGGACTGGAATTATACAGTGTAGGTGTAAAGTCCATGGTCATTCAACAAACCCTTCCAGGGTTTGGCCAGTGGACAAAACCAAGGCAGGTCCAAATAGAGAGAAGTAGATTCTCTGAGAAACTCCCCACCCAATGTGTTCCTCCCTCTCCCACAAAACCTTCTACCTCAATACAGGGGGACAGGGGTTGAGAGTTAAGTCGGTGAGCTTGGAAGGCATATCATTTTAGGCATGACAACTATCTGCACTCCAGCTAAACCTGCTTACCGTGATGCCTTATAAATTCAACAGAACGAAGAAACTCACAAAATTTACTACATCGACAATTCAGGAGAGAGAGAGAGAGAGAGAGAGAGAGAGATGCTTTTGTTTCAATTAGAGAACTTCAGAGAAAGGTAAAGATTAATGTTCACTCACTTTTCCCTTCCATACTGTCCTGCTCCCTGGATTCTTGATGTGATTTTTGATAAGCGTGTTTTTCACTTGCAAAGTGTGCCCAGCAGAGTTTCGGAACAAAAAGCTCTCTGTGGCTCGTGGAAAGAAAGTGAAGTCGTGGGACGCCCCTCCTCTGGATGCTGGACCTGGGGTTTGCAAGCGGCGCCCCTGCCCGCAGGGACCCGCATTCCAGAGCCTGAGCCCTACGGCGAGGGAGCAGTCGACGTTTTGCCAGTCCTTTCGGGCGAGGCCTCTAGGACATCCCGTGCGAAGAGAACACTTCCGGAGGCTAGGCGGTGCGCCGCCTTGCAGGGTGGGCCGCCACCTGGTGCGTACCTCGGGAGAAGGACCACCCTCCCCGCTACCCGCCCCGGGGAGCCGGAGCCCCACCGGACGGCCTGTCCTGTGCGTTTGGGGCGAGAGCTGGAGGTCCAGGGCTGCCAGAGTTGATCTCCGCGCAGTAGGGCAAAGTCACCTATACTCAGAAGGGACTACGGTTAAGGATGCATCTATGGGGCGTCTCTATTCTGAGCAAAGAGAATGAGGTTTCGCTTCTAATGCAAACTTCAAAGAGCGTTGACGAATACAGAACGAAGTTAGTGGTTAACCGATTTACTGCTAATATTTCATCAGTGGTGCTTTCTCCCTTTAAAGTCTAACTCTTGGAGAAACAACATATTTTAAGCTTTCCATCCAAATATTGATATTGGCAAACAGATCACCTAACGGTCCCTTGGTAAAGACAGTGGCCCTTTTGTTTCACGGTTGGCAATCAGGATTAATCCGTGTCGCGCATTGCTGTAGACTTAGAGGCAAGGAAGTCTCCCGGACAGTGCTGTGCGTGTGTGCGTGTTTGTGTTTGCGTGTGCGTAAGTAGCCTGCACCTCCACTACCTGTGCCTAACAGTGAATGATCCATTCTCTCCCAAGAGCAGATGCCAGGTTTCAGTCTGGCTGCGAGATTGTCCTAGCGGCTACGCTAAATGCCAGGCGATGGTTCAGCCTCTTTTTAAAAACTTGTTTTCTACAGTTAAAAAAATTAAATTGATCTTCACTGAATTTCTTATGTTCTTTCTATGAAACAGAACTGATGCCCTACCTGCAGCAGTGTGGCGTCCACAGCATCCGAAGACATCTTCAGTTCCCAACGTGATGCCTCCAAATCAACGCTTGCTATTAAAGCTATAGGACAATTAAACACCTTCCTACCTTCACAAATGCTATTATGACTGCACAATTTATCAAAGTTGAAATACAATAAATAATTAAATCATTTCTATTTTACTTAACAAGTTTTTTTTTAAGTTACAAACAAGAAAAGGAAAAAGTGTTTTTAGACAATTCATTTGTTTCTGATTCTTTGTGAGGTTTCAAATAGTAACAGACTAGTAGAAAATATTGAAATGGACTAAGTTCTTAAGAACTACAATTTTATACGAAACTTGTTTTGGGGAACATCTCTTTAATAAAGTTATTTGCAGGGAATCCAAATAATTCCAATAAAGTGTATTTCTGATTAATGTTCTTGAAATTCTTTGTTTTACACTGTATTTGATTCATATGTGCTACTTTTGGAGAGACATACTGTCATTCTTTCACCACATCAGGAATTGCTCAATAATTGAATTGAATTAAGTGAAATCTAAGTAAACATATTATTCTGTTTTGAGTAGAAATGCTCTTTAATCTTGCATTCTTTCTAATGTTAATAGAACTGAATACTGTTTTAGAGTTTAAAAAGAAATGTAAATGTTGGCAAAATGAATTAAGGAAAGAAACTTTATTAAAGTCACTTTTTTGTTTTTTAAGAAATCTGGGCAATGTCTCATTTAAGGTGTGTAAACTTCTCTGGGTGTCTAACTGCTGGGTCACAGTTGATGCAAACTGTCTAAGACACAAAGGTGTCTGCACAACACAGTAAGCAACTCTACTTCTGGACATGAATACTGTGGAATCCTGTAAGCTAATTTTAAAAATTCCCTTCAGGTATTAGCCATTAAAGATGGACATTTATTCAACTGAATATTCTAAAAAAATAAAAACAAATTTTAACCTTCTAAATTTTACAAATCATGATTTCTTGGGAAGGTTAATTAAAATTCTAGAATTTTAGAGGTATTTTTGGAGAAGGTAGAAGATGGAATTAAATTAATGGAGACAAAGTTGCAAATTAAGGCTAAAAATATAAGATAGGGGAAACAAAATTTATGTGTGCCAACAGTGAAAATATGAGTATATTTTAACTCTACAGTATGACTTAGTTGCCAAGGAAGGCAAAACAAATTTAGCTTACATCACATTAACAGAAAGGAAGCAGATCTGTACTATACACTGTTTTGCAGAAATCTAGAGAATTTAGAAGTGCTCGAGAAGCTATTTTTATAGAGAAAAAATTCATTTTCAGTTTCTATGTTGTACAGTGGCTGAGTCAAAAACCAATATGGGAACTAAGTCTTATGGGGAGGAGTTAAAGGAGTTTGTGATTTTTAGCTGACACGAGAATGAATGTTACATTTAGATGAGCCCCAATAAAATGGAAGTATATGGATTGTCTTGAGTCAGAAAAGTTTTTAATGTAAAAGTCAAGCTTTCTACCCATAAAATTTTCCTGTAGAGTCAGCTTATTCTCAAGGTTGCATACAACTGGACAAGAGAAGCTACAGAGGAAAATCTATTTCACTCAAGTCTTTCAAATCTAAGATTCCAAACTATGTCCTTAATGCTGACAATAGCTTACATCTCTGGTTTCTTTCACAAGAAAACCACAAGACTATTATTTTTTAAATTAAGATTAATTTTCTTTAAGGAGAAAAAAGAGTTTATTTTATCTTGCCTTGAGACAAAATTAAAGAGTACACTTAGAAAGTGAGTGTCTTCTGTTAAATAATTGTATTAGTCTGGCCTGTTTGTACTTTTATTATATAGATGACTTTCTGGGTTTCCTTTTGACAACAACTTTGGCTAACTCATGACAGACAACTTTTATTATAATGCATATTTATGGATAACAATTTCAACTATAACCTCAAAAGCATAATGATATATAGAGGAAATTCAGACTCACTGGGTTTAAGTGCAGCTTCACCATATACTGGGAGAGCTGTAACTATTCTATGATTCAGTACCATCTTCTGTGAAATGGGGGCTAGGAACAGTCCCTATCTCAAGGGTACAATTAAATGTAGTGAGCATATCAGAAGCACTTAGGATAGTGCCTGACTATAAAATAAGCACTCTGTATTTATTGTTAAGATTCACAATGTGGAAAAATTTAATAAAGATTGTGGATATAGGAAAAATAAAATGATAGCACTTGATGGTAAAGTGAAAATAAATTTTAAAAACAGAAACAAAATTGAAGTATTTAAATTAAGAAAGTGAAATATGTAATTCTGATTAAGAGAAAGAAATAAAGAGAAAAGATCACATACGAGAAACAAATATCCAGAGGATGCTAGGTCAACAGGTACAGTTGTGCTTGTCTTAAACTATTATTCAGTTAGACTATAAACATAAATATTACCTTTAACATAAATTTTCTAAGATTTTCATGATTCAGGAAACAGGGGTCCTACTTCTAGCTCTGCCAATAACTGTACAATCTAAATAAATAGAGTTAACTTTTTAAGGTCTCATCTCCTATTAAAAGAGTCTCATTGTGAAACCATGTATTTACTGAGACAGACTATACTGGTTATATATTGGACATACAATGCTTTTCAATTAACCTACGTGGTCTCTAGTACACAGCTATCAACTGAGTGCGTCCCCTCTTGAATTCATACATTGAAATTCTAAGCCCCACTGTGATGATATTTGGAAACAGGAGAGGGGTGCTGTGTGGAGTCATTAGCATTAATTTGGTAATCAGGGTGGGATCCTTAAAATGGGATGAAGAAATACTAGATCCGGGGCCAGTGTTGTGATGCTGGCACAGTGGGTTAAGCTGCTGCTTGCACTCCAGAATCCCCTATCAGAGTGCTGGTTTGAGTCCCAGCTGCTCCACCTCCAATCATGCTTCCTGTTAATGGATCTGGGAAGGAAAAAAAAAAAAAAGTGACCTAAGGGCCTCACCACCTATGTGGAGTTACTGGCTCCTGGCATCAGCTGGCCCAGATCTGGCTGAAGAGGTCATTTGGATAGAAGATTCCCCTCCAGCCTCCATACTTTCTCTGTAGCTCTGCCTGTCAAATGAATGAATGAATGAATGAATGAATAAATAAATAAATAAATATTTTGAAAAAGAGACCCCAGATCATCCTGTATGCCATGTGTGAGGACACAGCAGGAAGATGTAAGAAGATGAACTTCTGTACATAAGAGGGACCTAGCTAAGACTCCAGACTATCAGACATCAGCCTGCTGCTTAAGCCACTTAGTTTACTGAATTCTGTAATGGCATCCCAGGCTAAGACAGAAGTCTTCCAGTCTTTGACTCTAATATGATTCAAATAAGTAATATTAGAAATTCTAGTTTTCCCCAGCCATCATTAGACTTAGAGGACTCATCGTACTGCTCCTGACCGCCTCACAGAATTCATCTCCTGGGGTAGAAGAACTCACTGTGTGTTCAGGAAATCACTGTGGATATCATATCCCTGTGAGGAAACCATTTACAACGGCCCGCCTATGTCTACACTTGGAAGAAGCTTCACTCAGATGTTAGGGGCATCAGGACAGCTCCCAACAGACACTGACAATACCTCTGTAGGCTAACACCTCTGTAGGCCACTCAAATTTTCTCCCACCTATTATTAATAAACCAATGTGCTTACTAAGTAGGAATTTTAGTGTGGATAACTTATCATTTCATATTCAAATTGAATTGATATTTCCCCCAATCATGTTTCTTTTTATTTGAAAACTATCTGAATATTTATTGATCATAAAATGATCTAAGAATATCTGTCTTCCTATTTTTGAAAACTTTCACATAGCAAGTTTTTAATCCTATTAAGCTCTATCTTTTGACTAAATGATGTCCTTGATATGAACTCATCTTTAACGATCAGTTAAATAATATGAGAACATTCTGTAGCTGTCAATTCTCATTTGAATCTAATACTTCCCACCCTTAACACTTTTTGTTCCTCTGAGGATATTAAAAAGTCCTTATAATGTTGCTTATTGAATCTAGGTTGATACTTTAAAACATGAAGTTAAAGTTTTTGTTCTTAATATAAAAGATAACTAAATTTAATTTTTAAAAAACTTTTAATTTATTTGAAAAGCAGCTGGCGCTGTGGTGTAAAAGGTTAAGCCTCTGCCTTGTGGTGCTGTTATCTCATATGAGAGCCGGTTTGAGTCTCGGCTGCTCCACTTCCAGTAGAGCTTCCTGCTAGTGCACGTGAGAAGGCAGCAGAAGAAGGACCAAGTCCTTGGGCCCCTATACCCACGTTAGAGACTCAGAAGAAGCTCTTGGCTCCTGGCTTCTGCCTGGCTCAGTCATTGCTGTTGCAGCCATGTGGGGAGTGAACCAGCAGATGGAAGAGTTTTCTCTCTCTCTGTTTCTCTCTCCACATCTCTGCCTTTCAAATAAATAGATAAATCATTTTTTAAAAAAAATTGAAAGGCAGGGAAACTGACAGAGAGCGAGCTTCCATCTGCTGGTTTACACTCATGCCCAAGTCAGGGCTGGGCCAAACCAATTCAGGAGGCTGCAACTTAATCCGACTCTCTTACGTGGGTGGCAGGGACCCAACTATTTAGGCCATGATATGCTGCCTCCCAGGAAGTAAATTAGCAGGAAACTAGAATTGGAAGTGGAGCAGTGACATGAATCAATGTATTCCCAAATAGGACACAGGAGTCTGACATGGTGGTTTCATCACTGTGCCCTACTGCAAATTTTAAACAGTTCAAAAAGAAGAACCCCGGGGCCAGCGCTATGGCGCAGTGGGTAAAGCCATGGCCTGAAGTGCCAGCACCCCATATGGGTGCCAGTTCTAGTCCCAGCTGCTCCTCTTCTGATCCAGCTCTCTGCTATGGCCTGGGATAGCAGTAGAAGATGGCCCAAGTCCTTGGGCCGCTGCACCCACACGAGAGACCCAGAAGAAGCTCCTGGCTCCTGACTTCGGATCAGCTCAGCTCTGGACGATGTGGCCATCTGGGGAGTGAATCAGCGATGGAAGACTTCTCTGTCTCTACCTCTGTCTGTAACTATCTTTCAGATAAATAAAATAAATCTTAAAAAAAGAAAGAAGAACCCAGGGATAGACAGCCCTTTCTTTGTCTCTGGAAATAACCAGTTGCTATTTCCCTATGGAGGAAGAAGGATGACAAGTAGATAATGCGAACCCTCTTGTAGAATCTGCTTGGGGACTCTGGTAGTAGACATACTTTATGGTCTGTCTCAAGAGTATAGAGCATTTCTCCGATGCTGACACTTCCACCTATTTTCTAGAAATATATGTTTTACTTGCCAATGGGAGAAAGTAAGTGAACATACCATTAGAAATGTACACTGTTTACATTTCCAAAGTATTCCACACGCTTTCAGTGGAGGATGCTCAAGATGCATGAAATTCCACTGCCATTTCAAGGCAAATCTAGAGAAGTCAGTTCTCAATCTTTTAAAAATATTTTCCCATCATTTCATGGAAATACTTCCTAAATAAGGTATGCATAATTGATCCAAGTTTAATCTACTTAGAGAAATTTCGGTTTAATTTTGGAAGACTGGTCTGGAAAGGTTGACTGCATCGTCATGATTTATTGGGTGTTTATGATACATACCCAAGATACTAGCCCTGTGGCTTCGCTTCTCATTTACTTTATCACTTGTACTCATAGCACCCTATAAGTTA